TTTCACACAGAATTCAACACACGTTTCTTTGGTACACCAACTGAGCAAACGACAAGGTAAGTCAGACTTCACCTGGCTTTGCTGTAGCACACCAACTGAGCAAATGACAAGGTAAGTCAGACTTCACCTGACGTTGTCTTGGGCACACCAACTGAGCAAAGACAAGGTAAGTCAGACTACACCTGACGTTGTCTTTGGCACACCGACTGATCAAACGACAAGGTAAGTCAGACTTCACCTGACGTTGTCTTTAGCACACCAACTGAGCAAACGACAAGTTAAGTCAGACTTCACCTGACATTGTCTTTAGCACACCGACTGAGAAAACGACAAGGTAAGTCAGACTCTACCTGACGTTGTCTTTGGCACACCAACTGAGCAAACAACAAGGTAAGCTAGACTTCACCTGAAGTTGCCTTAAGCACACCAACTGAGCAAACGACAAGGTAAGTCAGACTTGACCTAACGTTTTCTTGGGCACTCCAACTGAGCAAATGACAAGGTAAGTCAGACTACACCTGACGTTGTCTTTACCCACCAACTGAGCAAACGACAAGTTAAGTCAGACTTCAACTGACGTTGTCTTTAGCACACCAACTGAGAAAATGACAAGGTAAGTCAGAGTTCACCTAACGTTGTCTTCAGCTGAATGTCTCAAAAATGAAAAAAATAGTTGTCGATTTCCGTACTGGGGTTCAATTAATAGCGGATATCACATTAAAAATACACAGAATATTGCGAGGCGAGACATAGAAGTAGCTAGGTGTCACAATTAATCTTAAGCTAACATGACCAGAACATGGCCTAATTCTCTGTAAACATGTCTACCAAAGATTTTCCTGTCTTTTAAAAATGTACAATGTGGGCAAAAAACCAATGAATCCTTGTGTTATTCTACAGTGCAGCGCTTGGAACGCTACTAAACCTCAGCATTACCTGGTGGATGGGAAATCATCGTCTGACGTCAAACACCGATTAGATAGACTAATAAGAAAGCTAGTCATATAACTTAAACCAAAAATCATTTACTGGAAGAAGTTATTGAAGAAAAAGAATTCCTTAAAACTAAAGAAACATTTGGATGTAACATCCCACCCTCCTCAAGTAGATACCTAAGATCAGCTCGATCAGTTCGAGTTTTTTCCCTTAAAGTTACCACCGAAACATATACATATTTGTTTACTCTCGAATCTAAAATTGGAACAGCCTTTTACCCAGCGATTACCTAATCAAAATAATCTCAAAGTCATTAATATAACTTAAAGGGGTTAATTTTTATGGTATAAGATGGCTGATTATTACGCTACAGGAATGCGTTGGATGTTTTGTGTTTAAATTATCACATTTTAGAATGCTGTCTTTGTTCAAATATTTTAAGTTTCTTTGCCACACCAACCAAGTGAACGACAGGGTAAGTCATTGGCGAGGTTTAAATCATCTTGTACAAACTGACACAATGAAAGATTACAACTGTCCACAAATTTTTACCTTATTATGTTACAAGAAGAATTTGGATTGCACAAAGTGAAGGTTAGTTTATGTAAAAAATCTTAAGCAACAATGAAATTCTTACATCGCAGAAAATGATAAACAATCTTTTAAGAGACATTTAAAGACTTTTTTGTTCAAATAAATTTAAGAACACCAGAGCGCAGTGAGCATGCTAAAGTAGCATGGATGCCCTCGCTATATAAATATCCAATCAATCAACCCAATCAATCAAAAATAAAAAAAATCTAAACGTATATACTAATAAAAAATAGTTACATTTTCAATGGGTATTCAATTTCAGTATCCAATATAATGTATGCATATGGTAGATTTAAATTATGCAGTCAATTTTATTTATAAAGGAGATTTAAGTAAGCCGGTATATTTCATTTTTACAGCATACAGTTAATATCTAGAATATTTTAGTTATCCTGTATATTTCAGTTATCCATTATATCTTTTATCCAGTATAGCTGAGTTATCCAGTAAAAAAACGTTTTGATGATACTATCTTGCTGTTACAGTGCTTCCCATTCACCCCCTGCATCCAGGAGGACACGTCATTAAACCAACCCCAAGTCCCGTTCAGACCAAGTTTTTTAAAGAACAGATTCAGCAGCTGCCACCAGGTGTACAAGAACAGCTGAAAGGAATGTACTTAAAACTCGGCTTTACAACTGAGTTTCAGGAAATTCTCATGAGAGAACTGACCAGGGTCAAGACCCCTAGCTCTGTCGGAAACCTCGGTCAAGAAGATATCAATGCTGGGGATGGTAGACGTCAGAACATTCATGGAATTAAATCTCAGGCCAATCGTCGGAACGCGGGTCTGCTCAATGGGGGCAGGAGCATTCTGGGTACTGGAGGATTGAATTCTAACATAAACAGTAAAACTGGATCTCATGGACAGCAACATTACGATAATGGCAGAGTTGCGACCCCAATGAACATGGGTGTAGGGCGTCAAGTAGCTGCTGAATATTTACCGCCCATGGGACAGGGCAGATTATCAGGGGCGTCTTCTCAGAGGTCAGTTACAAACTCTGACTTAGTAAACCCAAATATCCAATCAAACGTAGGCGCTCAGAGACAAAGAGAAGCACATCCTGGTAATGCAGGCACTCAGAGACAAAGAGAAGCACATCCTGGTAATGCAGGCACTCAGAGACAAAGAGAAGCACATCCTGGTAATGCAGGCGCTCAGAGACAAAGAGAAGCACATCCTGGTAATGCAGGCGCTCAGAGCTTAACACTGCATCAAAAAATAGATACCCTCAACCAAACGGCTCTTTCTTACGTCATGGACCTGTTGAAGAGATCAGGAAATAACGAAATGTTTAGAGCCACTGTCGACAGAATTTATGCAGACACTGTGAGAAATATCAACACTCGGCCTGCAGGTCACTCAATGCCCGCTAATACGTGGCACAGACAAGTACAACACACCCTGACCAGGACAACGGACAGCGGCAGAGAGAGGATGATTGAACTTAGCAGTAAGGGAACTAATGTGGCGAGTACACGCTCAGACACATACAGAAACGGACTAGAGACTCTGACACAAGCTGATGTTGTCGGACATACAGTAGGTTTGGGGGTGCGTGACAAAGTCGAGGTTCCAGGCATCGGTGGAAGGGGGCCACTAAACGCTGGGGTGACAACCACTGGTGGGCGTTTAACAACGGTCAGTCAGAAAAATAATGATGTGGAATACACGGGAAACTTTGAGTACTATCCTCAAGGGACACCACGTCAGTTTGGAAACCGTTTGACGAGCACTGACAACCCATCACGTGATGCTAATAGATTACGTCATTCTGGGAATGAGAAAAACTCTGTGTATCATGTAGAACAAAAGGGAGCTGATCACCAAGTACAGCAGGTACAACAGGTACAGCGGGTAAAACAGGTAGAGCCGGTAATGGGACTACAACATAATATATACCAAAAACCGAACCAGCAACATATCCAAGAGACGTTACACAGCAAACAAACAGCGATACTAGCAGTGAAACAAACAGAACAGCCGAATGATTCGTTACAACAGCAACAAAAACAGCTTGTTAACGCCTTTTCGTCGTCAAGCATAACAGCAGCCTTATCCAACCCACCACCAACGCCACTTTTCACACCACCAACTACGCAACAACCATCAACAACAACTCAAAGGCAAATCACCACAGTCAAGCCACCGCCAGCATTCATTGAGTTTTTCAATACTACCATCACCATCCCAGACCACATCAATCGCGATCCCATCATGAGGTCAGCTTTTCTTCAAGTCATTCAGCGAGCGAGGGACGAGGAACTGGCGAGGAACAAAATGGCGACTGCTCTCTTGTCACAACAATCACCATCTACCCATCACAAACAGTTCAAAGTGCCACAAAGCGTCACATCCGGTACAACTATGAAAACCACGTCAGCACCACCATCATCAAGCTTGTCCACACGATCCCCAACAACACCACCATTCTATAACAAAATGGTCGACCTGACCCCTGCCCTCTTCATGACGTGGTCATTACCGCCAACTCAAGTCACTGCCCTGCAGGGCTTACCACTATCAACCATCCTGACCAACATCAATGCCTCCAGAAATAACCAGGAAGTTCAGAGTTCAAAGGTTGAACAATTCCGGTCTTTTCTAATACAAACCATGATGGCCGATCCGCGAAGTGTCATCTTGATAGCTGATGACGTCATGTCAACGGCTTACTACGAAAGGTCAGACCGCGGACCCACAATTTTAGTGAAAGATCTTCGCGGTGGATTCGTCAAACACGAACAGTCTGATTGGTTGAAACGAGCCAAGCGGAATACCAATCAGATTAATCATGAAGGTTGGTTAAAGATTGATGCCAAGTGGATGGAAAGTCTTGCAGTAGATATCGGGTGTTCTCAAACAATCAAAAACCTTGTGCACAAAAATGAGTCTTGTAAAAGCTTAATGAATGGAACGCCTGAGTTTGGCACAAGCCAAGATTTATTTCCAGAATTTCAAGCTGGAAGGGAAAATGTTTTAGCCAATCAAAATTTTCGCCTCGTTTGTAATTCTTTGACTGAGGCCAGAGCGCGTGCCAAATGCGTCATCAACCTAAGAAGACACCACGTGAGGCGTTCACTTCTACAATGTAAGAAACTCTTTGATGTGAGAGACAAGATGACGTGTAAAAGGAAAGTGGCCAGGAAATTAAGTTTTAAAAGTGCCATTTCCTTCCAGCCAAAGAAAACACAACAATGGAAGACAGCTGTCGCTTCAACCAATGACAAGACAGTGGGAAATGACTTGACGACTGGCAGAAAAAGTGCCTTTATGCCGAGAATACGTGAGAAGAGGCAGAATAAAGATGAACGTTTTCTGATTCCCGTGTTGAGGTTCACATGGCTGTTACCGTCAGGGAGCTATCCAACTGATCCATTAAACACCATGGATTATATCATGGCCAAGTTTAACACGTCCTTACACACTGGGTCAAGGCCAGAGATGACACAACGGACGAGTAATACGCAAAACATTCAGAGAATGGGAGTTGATGGTCATACAGTAGGAACTACAAAGTTAGGTCAAAATCACTCCGCGACGTCTATGAACTCACCAGTAATTATTCTCGACAAACTCATCGAAGCGGCAAATGCCTTGTCTAAACTTCCGGGACACAGCGTCGATTTCCTAACGTCAGCATTAGATCACACATACGGGCAACCAGGGCCAGATGGAGCGGGGTCAAATAACCCATTGATGAAAATTATCAGCAGCTTGAGGCATCAAAAATTGGTGGAATTCACAGGGGGGAGTGTTCCGCCCCTGGGAATTCGAACCACAGCTGTCCCAGTCTCTCCCCACACCTTGACCCTTACACAAACAACTCCAACGCCCGCTGTTGTTACAAACACACCAATACCACCGGTAGTTACCTCCTCCGTGTATCATGACACATTGAGACAACCCTATGACGTCAATGCGCTCATGGTGACAATGTCAAACAAGTTTCAGGGAATACCCGATACCGTGTTACGGTCCCTTGTTGTAAATCTATTACAACAGCTGGAATCACATGGTAACACCTTGTCACAAGACATCACTCATTTAGACCCCCAAAAAGTTAGTGAGCTAAATTATTTACAAAATATGCCACCAATGTCTAAAGCTGCTGTCACTTGTGCTGTGCCAGGCTGCATAGGCCAAGAACCTCTGACTATAACCACTTCACCATCACCCTTTGTAACACATGATTTAAACCCTCAAGACTCTCACATGATGGCAAAACCTCATTCAAATGAAGAAAAGCCGACCGGCATACACTATCAACTTGTTGTAACACCAACTACGACAAAATCCTCGCCATTAACCAATATTCCAATAATCCCAACACCATTCAATCCTCCTAAACTTCCACCCAATACGACTCCACAACCCACATACCTTTCACACCGAACCCTACAACCCCATATATCACTATTACAACCACATCCAACCCTACAAGCTCATATCCGACCATCGCCACCACACACAACCCTACACTCTATTATACCGCCATCCATGCCACACAAAACCCTACAACCTCAAATCGCACCATCCATGCCACACCCAACACTACAACCTGATATCCCATCAGCCATACCAAACCCAACACTAAAACCCACTATCACACCAACCACGACATCAACATATCCTTATATCCCAACATTTCCCTTCACGACCTCCTCTCTTTTATCAGATAAATACGTCACAATGAACCTGCATTTCAAGGGCGTATCACCTCCAGAGACCACTAGCTTCCCCATTATGCCACTCAGAAGTCCCTTCACATCCGCCACTGACAGGGCGGCGATTTTGTCTTTTCTCCTATCGGTAAATTCCAGAGGTGATCAATTAAACCCTAAATCTGTAAATGTTGAACCCAAAGCTGCCCCTAATCAACAAAAACCTTTCATGGACCATCCCAAATCTGTCATGGGCCAACCCATGCCTGTAATGGACCATCCCAAATCTGTCATGGGCCAACCCATGCCTGTAATGGACCATCCCAAATCTGTCATGGGCCAACCCATGCCTGTAATGGACCATCCCAAATCTGTCATGGGCCAACCCATGCCTGTAATGGACCATCCCAAATCTGTCATGGGCCAACCCATGCCTGTAATGGACCATCCCAAATCTGTCATGGGCCAACCCATGCCTGTAATGGACCATCCCAAATCTGTCATGGGCCAACCCATGCCTGTAATGGACCATCCCAAATCTGTCATGGGCCAACCCATGCCTCTAACGGACCATCCCAAATCTATCATGGGGCAACCCATGCCTGTAATTGAACCTACTGGAAGATCTGAACTTTCTCCAGTGAGACCCTTTACTCAGTCACCTTCGGCTGTTACCACTGAACCAATGATAAAACATATACAATTATCTCCACCGCCAAGGGACAGTAACATACAGCCCCAACTGGTAAACATTCACACACAGCCCCAGCTGGGAAACATTAACATACAGCCACAGCTGGGGAGCTTTCATATACAGCCACAGCTTGGGAACAATCACACACAGCCAGAGATTTGGGACATTCACACACAACAACAGATAGGGAACATTCACACACAACCACAGATTGCGGACATTCACATACAGCCACAGATTGGGGTCATTCACCCACGACAGCGAAAGTCTGAAATGCCAACAACGCCCCCAAACATAAGTTCCAAATTAATTCAGTTGGTAGACTCCGCCCTCTCAAACATACTGTCCTCAAGCCCCACCCACAACGTTTTTCAAACCAATAATCACGCCCATCTCGCCAAAGACGCCCTTCAAGCGATCGCATCATCCAACAACAATCTAAATCATGACTCAGGTCAAGGTCATATACAAGGACCACAGCACAGTAATAATGATTTTGACCCATCTGGTACTACCAACTTAGTGCAAAATCTTCAAGTACTCGATTCTGTAAATAGTTTTCAACCACTCAAAGGTATTGGCACAAATCTTAAAATATCAGACTCACTTCAGCAAGAAGCCAATAATAATTACGGTGTTGGACATTTAGATGGACATAACTCACCCAGCGTCAGCTCGCTGTGTACAGTGGACCAAAAGTTGGTGTGTGGACCAAGTCGGCCCTCTGAAAGACTGACAGGTTTCTGTCATCAGCGGTGTGACATCACGACGGGGGAGTGTACGTCTGCTCTCTGCACGTGCTCATGCCAGGACACCAGGCCGATTACGCCACCCACCGTGAGACCGTCTCTGAGTCCCTTACAATCCCATGGCATTCAGATCTCAGGAGTTGACCCTGACCTTATCCTTGTCAGCACGACCACACAGATGAGCACTACAACTGGGTCTGCAGAGCAACGCCTGATGCGATTTCTGAGTCTTGTAGACAAGGTCAAGACCAAGAAAGGGGAAAAAACTGCCGAAGAACCAGAGGCGGATAGATAAACCCTACCCTATCCTGAGACGTAGCTAGAGTTAGTGCCAACAAGATTTTTTGTTTGCATCCCCCCCCCCAATGAATATCTCTGATGTTCCCAACCAATCTCAATATATGGGAGGGGGGTGTCATCTCCCCCTTCGTCCAATCCTTCCTCCGTCAAGGTCACATCCAACATCCCTTTGTGTCTTCACTTCTTCTGTTAGTTTATCCCAAATCTTATCCTTTCAATTCGTTTCTCATTCTGTCCTAAATCTCGTCCTTTTCCATTTTTTCTCAGTCTGTCCCAAATAGAATTAACACAACAATTGGTTTCTGATCGATTCATTACATTTTTGTGGGTAACATCTTAAATTATTTTTGTTTCCAGTCAAACTTTTTCAATTTTGTAACTCCTTGTAAAAATTTGTAACAGACGAGATGTTGATTTCGTAACTCCTTGTAAAAGTTTGTGATAGACAAGATGTTGATTTCGTAACTCCATTAACAGTTTGTAAAAAAAAAAGAAATGTTAACTTTGTTATGTTCTATTTATTCTATTGAGACATTTAATGAAATAAATTTGAAGAGATTAACATGGACATCGTCAGAGTTTTGAATGAAACAAAACAATTATGTGTAGAGCTTACAAAATTTCGTTGTACAATTTACGCTATAATTTGATGTTCAAACTAAGGATATTTTGATGCAGACTTAAAACATATAATGCTAAAATTTATATAATTTTGATATACAAAATATACGTCTGAGCAATCAGGTTAACAAAAAAGAAAATGAATGAAACAAAATAATGGAAAACCTGAAAAAAGGAACGCAACAAAACACAAATTGTCGACAAGAGGACTTTATCAGCGGACAAAAAACAGTAAAAACAGATTTAAATAAAATAACACTTAGCTGAAATGTAGTGTCCGAGAGAGCAGCAAGAAAATTGTGACAGAAAATGAGGAGGTGAGAGATTATATACAAGCATAGGGGAAAGAAAAGAGAAGTCAGTCCACTGCGATTGGTTGTGACGGGGAAGGGTAGAGCAAAGGTTTAACATGTGAATGAGAACATGACATAATAGCATGTGGTGTCTAGGTTTCATAAGTCTGCATCAGCTTGTTATCCAAATTCACCCGGCTTGGTGTGTTAGTGCAGGTTACGATCGCACAAATAGTGAAATCCGCATCCCCTTGTGGTCACTACTATTGAACAGTTTAGTGACGGGACACTACTTATCTTGCGTAATACAGCGGCGTAGACAACATTGCGGCTAGTACAAAGGAAACTGTCCCTTGTCTGGAAACTTTAGAAAAGGTAATGTGTTAAATTTGATCGACAAAAGGGAAAGTTTTGCATCAGCTGCATCCACGTGGCTAGGCCCTAACGTGAGAAGGGGCAGATTTAATACGACTTGCAAGGGGCTCTTGCAGATTTGTATTACGTCTTAAACAATGAGAGGTGGGAAGAGAAAATGTCGTGTTTGTCAGGGTCGGTGATGAGAACTTACCGTTCACATGTGGCTGTTAGATTGTGAGGATGATATGTGAGAGTAAGTTCAGATCTGTCAACACTGTCACCCGGGCGTGACCTGAAGGCATCAGAACGGGTAATAGTCTTACCCCTCTGAAGGGCCGATGAAAATACTGTCTCCGGGTAGGACCTACATCGGAATTAGTCGATCATCTCAAGTGCTTTGTCCCAAAAGTCATCCTTTGATTAGCAAATTGGACGAAGTGATTTAGATAAGGGAATATAGTCTTTACAGGATTTAGGATAGGAGGAAGAATAGAGTAAATAACTTTGGATAGCAGTAGGTTTAATTAGGCAGCGGTGAGTAGGCTGTATTCTTTGAAGAGTACGCGTAATTGTCCAAAATGTTGACTATGGGCTCTCATAGACAATAGATATGAATTAAAAAATTTGAGGGATGAAAAGAGCCTACAATGTCAAGTTCAGTCATTTCCATACTGGTGACCCTCATATAAATGAGGGAGGCGGCCATTGTAGATGCTTTCGACCATGTATTCGAAATGTCCCATGAACAGACATGAGTAGATGGGTCCCATTTTAGTCCCCACAGTAACACCATCTTTATCAACCAACTCAATCGTGAATTGCAACGCTTCCTTTCTGACAACAAAAAGTAAAACTCGACAATGTTAAGCCAGCCAACTGCTCAACACCTCATCAAACAGTCACTGGTAACAACTTAGTCGTATGCTTATCCCCTGTCCTCCCACTCTCCGATGACGAAAGTTTGCTTCTCTCTGTCTTAATTTTTTTCCACTTTAACCATCCTTTGATCGCTACTACCAACTTTCGGATTCCAACCGCTCCCTTCGTTCCTTGAGACTTCAGTTCCACGATGCTGGGAAAAATACCAACCTCTCTGAGGACGAATTATTCCTGATCCATAAATAACGCAAATCGAATTGGACACCACCATCCAAACAATATGAAGACTTCAGACCTGTACATAAGTTTCACGGAATATGATATCAATAATCTCCCTTTGCCTCCACTCCGCAACTGTTAACCTTCGAAAAGAGAATCCAAGACACTCTCTACACTACTTAGCCGATTTTTACTATAATTGCTATCGTGACCTGAACCAACACACCAGGCCGGGTGAATTTGGATAACAAACTGATCCAGACTTATTGAACCTTGACACCACATGGCATCACGTTAAACCTTTCCTCCGCCCTACCTCGTCACGACCAATCGCAGTGGAATTACTTCTCTTTTCTTTCCCATTTGCCTTTAATCTCTCACCTACATATTTTCTGTCACAATCCTCTTGCTGTCCTATTGGATACTACATTTCAGCTAAATGTTATTTGTATTTAATTATGTTTTTACTGTTGTTTGTTCGCTGATGAAGGCTTCTTTTCGACACGTTCGTTGTTTTGTTGTGTTCTTTCTTTATAGGCTTTTCCCATACTTTGTTTCACTCATTTCCAAAATATACAACATTTAATTCAGTATGCATCCAAACATTTGGTTTAAATATTTTTATAACATGTAACGCACACATTTTACAACATTCGATGTTAATTAAATTTGTTGAATATATAAGAATAAAAACATTTAAAATTAAATTTGAGTAAAAAGCTTTTTGCAAGACGTGTATGACATTTGAGACAGTTGATCTAGTTAGGAGAATTATGATCGTTGGGAAAATGTCCAGGAGTTTGGGGAGATTGGAAAATTGGGTCAGTTTTGACAAATTTAATTCCTCAAAATGGTATACATTTGAGACAGATGAGTCAGCAGACAGTTGACAATACTGGTGTCAAAAATAACATGATGATAACAAAATCCCATAAGATAGTGAATATACGCATTAGTCGTCATCATCGTCATCATCATCATCTTTCTTCCCTGTTTGTGGCTTCTTGCTGTAAATAAAATAATAAAAAACTATTCTATTAAACAAATCATTACATATCGCTTCATTTTTCAATTTTTAGCATTCTCTATACTATTCTATACCTTTATGCTCTTCTAATACTTTAGACTCCCCTTTACTTCATTTACGGCTCATCTCGCCAGTTTCCTTCTTGTCTTTAT